CCAATCTTCACTTGTACTTTACTTCGCTTGCGACAAGAAAAATTACTAAAACCGTTTGGGGAACATCTGGCGAGCATCTGGCAAACATTATACGACCGTTTTTCGCCGCCATCTTTCTGTTACGGAGAGCCGAAGGAGACAAACTTGGCGAACGTAGTTCCTCAAAATGATGACTACAGCTTGTGTAACAAACGCGATGCTTACACCTTCACTTGAGGGAATACGAGAAGTCTTTTGGGATGGCATTTTGCTTGCACCTGTGCAGAAGAAATGGGTGGCAGGCTTGTAAAGTGTGGTCTCTCTGAGGCACCATAGTTCGCGTGCTTCAAAATGCACATACTTCAAGCTTAGGTCGTGACATTCGTTTAGTTCACGACTCGAAGGCACTAAATTCTACACACAGTATCTTTAATAAGGTCCTGCATATGACGTATGTGAAATGGTGCTATCAAGGTGTGCTGCAATCTTCTAAGTTTGGACATGTATATAAAAATATGAATACCTTATTGTTTTATGAAGCAGGTCTGCGATTTTGCTATACTTACATGTACTTTAATAACTTTACTATTATGCTAGGAGAGGAGCTAGAGATGTTTAGACTGTAAGGAATGCTAATGCTAAGAGAACATGTTAGCAACTATTAATAGCATTGCTCATGTAGTGTCCTGGCTGGTCCTCCAAAACTGGAGCCCAGTAAATTTGCAGTTCTGAAGATGCCGATGTGCTCATTGAAAGAGCATTTTTACGTGTGTGGGTTCCACCTTCTATTGTGAAGTATAACTATGAGCCTGGGTGGGAATAACAACAACTAGTAAATTTACATTTGCCAAGTAATCGGGTCGATAGCTCTAGGTATGGTCAGATGCTAATGCATGCCAATTAGTATGTTCCTTCTTCAAAAAAACAAAAATCATGTCTTTCAAGCCTACTGAAACCCAAATGGTTGGTAAACCTACATTTATTGTAACATGTGATGTAGATATGGTCAGATGCTAATGACAGGCAACAGCATAACAGCAAACAAAACATGCTTGTGCTGTAATATGGCTTTTCGGACAATTAGTTGCAAAGTTTGTCGTAGTTCTCACAAAACTCTGAAACGTAGCATGAGCTCTGACAATTTTCACGGCTGATCCACCATAATTGTTGCGCAGTATTTGAGAAGATGACTAGCAATGAAAAAGATGTTGTTCCTCTTAAAACCGGTGTAGCAGAAATATCAGTTATTGTAAGGTATGATTTTTGTTCAATAATATTGTCAGAGAACAACAGCATTTCATTATTTCATTCAGAGTAAAAGTCAACAGGAAATGGTAGACAGAAGAGAGATGACTCAATCACGACCATAATTTAGACAAAACAAAACAATCATTCACTCTGGTTCAAATTGTGCCCCCAAAAGACTCACCTTTTAGCTTTTTTTGCCATTAAGCGTCAAGAATTACGACGACCGCAAAGGGACTAATCAAATACTTTCTCCCTTTTTTTAATATGAATGACTTTGCTTCTGACTTTCTCTTCCAACGAATTTCTCTTTATATCCATTTAAACTCAATCAGAAGGCCATTCAGCTCTTTAAGTTTTCACTTTCACATTTCCAAGCGACTCTGGCGAGCTAAATGAAAAGCACTTTCGCTTGCTGAGGCCACTTGTTTTATTCTCTACCGAGCATTTTAGTTATTTTGACTCCAAACTTCAAGCGATGACAAATGGGAGAGACAAAGTGGATTTAAATGCTAAATCTATTTTGTGAGGACCACTGAAATGAATGTGGCCTATAAGGGGGTTTTAATGACTTTCCATTCCGGTTACCAGGAAGCAGAGAGGCTACTTCTATGTAATGCCTAAAATAGACACACACCAAGAACACTTTAACAGGATATAATTGTGTGTTGTGTGTTTCGTACCACTCTTCAGCTGTAATTTGAGACTGAGGCGTTCTTGTAAGGTGCACATTTTGTGCTTTTTCTCCTCCCTGCATCAATCATTGTGTGCATGAAACAGTGGTGAGTGGTCCTTCCAGAGCGGGATGTTTTCAAATTAATATTTTTTTTCCAACTCCAACTCCCTGGTCAAATTTTTCCCAATTCTGACCAGATTTACGTCTACCTCAATGATCTTGAAATTTAGCCTGACAAAGGGACAACAATATATCAGTGCTGAAGTTCAAAATGCTCTTCTGTTTCCCCTCCCCCACAGTATCCAGTGATTTTCCTGAAACCAGGCATGTCATTGTGTTTGAAATTTTGTTGACCAAATCAATAGAAAGCAGTTTTGGTTGATGGTTGTGTTTTCACTGCAGACATTTTGTGATGGTATTTTTATTTGGCATTTGCCCGAGTTGCCTTTTTTTTAAAATCATGGCTGCAGCCATGATTTAAAATTAACCTTTGGACAAAAAAACAAAACAAAACATGGGAGTCCTCAGGGTAAAGCCTCAAGGTCATTGAGGCATGGTGACTTGGAAAAGCAGCAAAATATAGCATTTTAGTAAAATTTATAAATGTATCAAATGTGATACAGAGAGATTGTTGACTCCCGGCAGTCCTTGTATGCTGCTCTATGCTGCATTTTCATCACTGACAATACTGTGCAAAAGTCAAGTGGTCATGCTGACAAATAGTTAAAAGCAACATGGAAATACATAATGGGCCATTGTCACATGTAGGACACGAGTGGTACTTGCCAGAAATACCTGAAATTCTTTTGATAGTGTCTTTGCTGTACTTCTTCCACTTGACAACAACTTTTATTCTCTTCTAAAAGTTGTACACAAAAGTGAAGTAGTGATGTCTACTATGCTAAAACAGTAAAACGTAGCATTCAAGTCAAATATAAAGAACGCAGAAGATTGCTATCACCTTATGTACTTTAAAGTTGCCATTTGCAAAAATGTCTCTACTTGACGATGATTGTCATCATTGATAACAGAACTGTGCAAAGGTCATGTTGACAGGGTGAGAGTAAAAATCAGGACTTAAATATAAGTTGAGCTATTGCTGGCACGTGGAGGACACAACCTGAAGTTGCGAGAAATTCCTACAGCTCCTTTCGCAATGCTGTCTGCCATATATTTTGTCAACAACTGTCTTCACTGATCACTTTGCAAAAACAATTATATTGCGGTAAGAATAAAAAGGAGACCATACAAAGGATACTGCACCATAAAAATGATGCGTGAGATTGTTGGCACATGTAGGCCATACCCACCATTGGCCAGAAATCTTCGCAACTCCTTTGACGTTGCCGTGAACTGCATTTCAAAGCATTTATGTGTGAGTAGTGATGTAAAAGTGTGAAGTCAACCTCAGGACAGCTGGATTATGGCCCACATGTGCGTTTCTGTGTTGTGTAACGCGTACGATGTGCAACAAACATGTCATGGAAAAACATTTTGGCCGTAAGCGTGTTATTTTCCTTCTCGGGCTCTGCTCGGACATTGTTCTTCACTTACATCCTGTTGTGTCCACCACTGTACTGTGTGTGTGAGACTGTTCTTTGTGTATGTGTGTGTGTTTGTGTGTGAATGGTCCAGATTGAAGCAGTGTGTGTGACACAGAGGCCACCAGAGGTCAACTATGAGTGTGTCAAGCACGCTGGTTAACTCTTTGGAGGGCGAGGAGGTATGTTTGCTACTTCAAGTTAGTGTCTAAAATAGACCTAGAATGCTTCAGTTGCAAAATAATGATTACAATTATTGTCACAATGAGACGATGAACATTGTCACGCACAAAATATATCGACTGAAGCATGTCAGTGGTTTCTAATAATTATAATTATGTGAATACTGTGAATTGATGCATTAAAATGGACTGGATTGTTGGGGATTGCTTGCCATGGGTTCATGAGAAAAGTGACATCATTAAAATGACAAAAGTGTTACTTCGATGACGTAAATGCATTTGTTCAATTCAAACAAATGTATGCAGTAATAGATTTAATACAGCTGCACTGTATTACATGGATTTGAATTTTCAGATTTCCCAACCTTGGTTATTCTTTGCATATTCATCATTTCTTCGAAATTATTGACTGTAATGTATTGTAATTATCTTTTCTCTGATTTAGTAAAATATACATTTTGATTCATTATTTTTCATTATTTCAGTAGAAATGGTTATTGGAATGTCAATTGTATTTTTCATCATGTTAAACAAAGTTTTTAAAACATACCTGTCAACCTCGGTTATTAGCTGCCCTTATAAATGATTACGATTCCCCTTACAAAGCAACAAAAACCCGTACAACATGCACTGCGCAACACAAGCTAACACAAGCGGAAACGCAGATAGTTTACCGCGCATGCGCACATCATGCTTTATCAATCCTATCGTACGCAGCGATGAAAACATATACAATTGAGGATTACTTTTGCTGGTTTGCCGTGACAATAGTAGCGATCGACGACGGCATTGTCGTTGGCCACCAGCAGGTGAGGCGTTGGATGGCAACCGGTTCAAGGTGTCCCTCGCCTACTGCCCGAAGACAGCTGGGATAGGCTCCAGCACCCCCTGTGACCCTTGTGAGGATAAAGAGGTTCAGAAAATGGATGGATGGATAGTAGTAGTAGTAGTAGTAGTAGTATTTTTATAAAATGTATACATCTCTTTTTTTCACTCTAAAAAAATGTATTTTTTATTTTTGTGACTACAATAAATAAGACTCAATATCATTTTCTGATTTGGAATAGTCGTAATAATTAAAAAATAAATCCTTTCCTTTTAATGCCAAACTGTCCAAAACCAACAGCCCAATGCCAACGAATAATCCGTGACTAATTTAATAGCTACCAAATATATATATATTATTTTAACTATATATTTTTATACTTTTTGACTACAAATTGGATGATTTCTGGCTGATTAAATTAAAGAGATAAATTCCCTATTTGGCCACACGAGGTCGCAGTTTGCCAGGCAGGAGGAGGAGTAAGCGCGCTCACCAACTGCATTTGTCCAAGAAGAGAGAGAGACAGAGAGAGCGAGAGAGAAAGAGAGAGAGAGTGAGAGAGGTGCACATTCGACTGGATCGCTACTCTTGCCAGTCCCGCGGACCCTGCTATGGACGTCAGGTTCTATCCGGCTCCCCCCTCCAGCGTGGGTGCGTGCACGTTAACGCCTGACTCCACTTTGGACTATTACCACTCCAACAAGGTAAAGAAAACAACTCTTTTTACTTTCCACCTCTTTATGCGTGACATCCATCGCAACCGTGACAAGTGCTCCACTTTTTTTTCCCCACAAAAAAAAAAAAACAAACTCCGCAGGGCTTGCATTGGCAACGTAACTTTGTCTTGAGTAAAATATAAAACAAAACAAAAACACGACAAAAAGCCCCCATGCACCTGTTTTCGAATTTATCCGCAGCTCAGTGCTTCAGAGATCCCTCAACCAGCTGCACTCAATTTTCCATTACGATTCTCAATCCATCTCTTTGCTCTTTGTATGATTTATAGTTCAAGTATTAAAATACATGAAACGGTGCATGATTGATTGCTTTTCTAACAAACTTGGAAGTCCAATAATTAGCTATTTGTGCTATTAGTGCGGACTGAGTATGCACTCCCACCTTGTGCTCCAGGGTGGGCAACCTATAGCTCGAGAGCCAAATATGGGCATGCTATAAAAGCCTCAAAACAAACTCATACATATTCAGTGGTGCCTTGAGATACGATGACTCAACCTGCAAATGTTTCAAGATATGAGCCATCATTCGACCAAGTTGGTAATTGAACTTCTCTGTTGGTGTCAAACTAAACAAAACAAAGAGAATGACAGATGTTGTACTTAAAAACAAACAACTGCCCAAAGAAAGGCCCTTGACAGCCTTATGCTAATGCTAATTATCATCCATGTTACACTTCTTTTAACCTGTAAGCAATGGCTTGAACACACACGGTTCAGCAACAACATAGACAACGTAGACAGACAATCCAGTGGTACTCACAGTCATCAGTCTTCTTTCTCTACATTGAACCATTCACATTAGTGCTATACTGATGAGCTGAGAGATGAATTGAAATTATGTTAGGAATTCCTCTTGAGTTTTAGACACGCCCCGCAGCAATATTTGCCTTGAACTGGTGGGATTCATAATAACGCCCCACTGAACAATAAATTCACCAGTCTGTCTCATACTGTCCCTAGGTGGTCAAGGCAAACACACTACGTTCTACTTAATTTTGTCGTTACTGTTTGCTTTTACAACCAGTTCAGGATGTACCCAGTTTGTTGCCCGAAGATAGCTGGGATAGGCTCCAGCACGCCCGCAAACCTCGTGAGGATAAGCGGTTCAGATAATGCATAGATGGATAGATGTTTGCTTTTATGAAGTACAAAATTATGGGCGGATTTTTTTTTATTCATGAAAATATACACAAACAAGGCTAGAATGGGTTAATAGAATTTCCATTTTTTTCATGAGGAAAAGATGATTTAAGATATAAATGTTTCGAGTTGCAAGCGTGTTGACAGAACATATTTAAATTGTATCTGAAGGCACCACTGTACAATTTCCATTGCTGCATGTTTGCTGCAGCGGGTCCTCTGATAGGAGAACGGTTGGCTTTGATTCTGTCTCATTTAGTGTCACATGCTTTAATTACAGTATTAAGAGCCCGTAAAGGTGCCCTGACTCCAAGTAGATGTGGTTTTACAACTACATTGTTCTCTCTTTTGTCACTGGCACCATGCCAGATTACATATTTTGTTTATCGTTTACTAAGGAGGCTCTGAAGCAGTTTGGGCTCATATGTCTCAACTGCGTTAAAGATAACATAGGGAATTTGTTGGTCTCATTGTCCTATCTGTGTTAATTGAGGCACACAAATATCCTAACGTGTAATAATTCATATTTCTTTGGCACATCATATTTTGCATTGATTCGGAACGTCGCTCAGAGAGGTTTTGAGTATCACATGGTTTTAAGCATTCTGTATGCATGTACCCCATCTCTCCTAGAACCAGTAAACATGCATCAATTCCTCTAGATATTGTTTTAGGGCTACTTTGGCTGCTGGTTTGACACTTGGGACACCATACGCATAAAAAAGATTTATATGAATATAAGAATTGTGGTTGTTTATTAGTATTTGTCTTCAGATAAACGCAAATAGAAGGCATGCTTTTTATTTCTTAGTGCACTTTGATGGCTCGCAGAAGCAGAACATTTACTTTAGAGGGCCCTATGGATGCCCGTTTGAGTGGTGCTGACAATCGCAGTATATGTAAAGGTGATTAAAGTACCTGAGGGGAAGACGGATTGCTTGTCCCTCAATGGGAAATTCAGTTTTCGTTGTAGGGATCACAACGGAAGTACATGGTGTTCTTCCTGCATGGTCTTCTGGTTCCTGAGCCAATCCTTTATAAAAAAACAAAAAAACAAAACGATGTAATAATAAGAAACAATTTTCAGTAGTTTTTGTGTCCTGGTCTAATTACATAATAACCTGTCCAGTTGATGTTTGGAAGCAGGCAGGCAGGTACACGGCAGTGTCATATTACTTCAAGTAACAGCTGTGACTGTGGCTACAACTGCGCAACTGTTGAATAACAACGCGACCCGGCTTGTTGTGACCTTTCGCTGAGTGGCGATCCTCTATGCAAAGGAGATGATGTTGCATCAGGTTGAATTGGGTGTAATCAATTGATAGGATTTATGAGAATAACTGTTTGGGTTTTTTTTTTCGACGATAACGGAAAAAACAGACAGCGCAGTGGATGAGCAGTGAGCAGGTCTGCAGCACAGTTCTCAGGTTGTGGGGTCAAATCTTGGCTCAGTCTCTCCCTGTGAAGTATGTGCATGTTCCACACAATTATATTATTTTTTCTAAATCGTTCAGTCCTATTAAGTTCTTGGCAACAGCTGTTCAAGTGGTGGTTGTATTCCTCATGTTTTGTCTGGAGCTGTGTGTAGTGTATGTCAACCAGGATATGAGCATGATATGGTCCACATCCCATATGTCTATACAGTACATCTATAAAAAGCCACACTTTCTCTGTTTTGTCAGGGAGCGTCTGTCAATGTGATTTAACGCTCATACGTTATGTTTGATAGAGGAACGCTTATACGGAATGGAAGTGCATGTGACAATGGATATGATCAATATGCACTCAACCTTGCTATTTACAAAATCTGAGCTTAATTTTTTTTTTTTTTTTTTTTTTTTTTTTTTTTACCCAGAGGGTTACTCCTCTCAGCTGCATCCAACTTGTCCGCTGCTGCTCGCACAATCACCGTGAGTCATCTTTACATCGGGCCCTGAGATCCCTCCTAATCTTTGTGAAGCCCCCGCGCGTCCTCCCCGAGTGGGAGGCTTGTTTGCCAGCGCTGAAGGCTACTTTCTCTATAAAAATGCCTGTTTTAACAGCGGGCCCGACTATTTGTCAAATGCATTATGACTTGTGCATATACCCCTCCACACTTACCCCCCAGGCTCAATCACTCGGCTGTGATGTGAAGTTGGATAGATTACTGGAACTGCTGCACCCTCGTTCTCTCACTTTCTCCATCCCCCATCCTTCTTCTCTCGAAGAGAAGGAGGCCCTCTGTAATTACACTGTTGTGCAAACATGTGTATGTATGAGTGTGCTTATAAAAAAACTGTGTGGGTGTATATCACGCCCCGCAGCAATATTTGCCTTGAACTGGTGGGATTCATAATAACGCCCCACTGAACAATAAATTCACCAGTCTGTCTCATACTGTCCCTAGGTGGTCAAGGCAAACACACTACGTTCTACTTAATTTTGTCGTTACTGTTTGCTTTTACAACCAGTTCAGGATGTACCCAGTTTGTTGCCCGAAGATAGCTGGGATAGGCTCCAGCACGCCCGCAAACCTCGTGAGGATAAGCGGTTCAGATAATGCATAGATGGATAGATGTTTGCTTTTATGAAGTACAAAATTATGGGCGGATTTTTTTTTATTCATGAAAATATACACAAACAAGGCTAGAATGGGTTAATAGAATTTCCATTTTTTTCATGAGGAAAAGATGATTTAAGATATAAATGTTTCGAGTTGCAAGCGTGTTGACAGAACATATTTAAATTGTATCTGAAGGCACCACTGTACAATTTCCATTGCTGCATGTTTGCTGCAGCGGGTCCTCTGATAGGAGAACGGTTGGCTTTGATTCTGTCTCATTTAGTGTCACATGCTTTAATTACAGTATTAAGAGCCCGTAAAGGTGCCCTGACTCCAAGTAGATGTGGTTTTACAACTACATTGTTCTCTCTTTTGTCACTGGCACCATGCCAGATTACATATTTTGTTTATCGTTTACTAAGGAGGCTCTGAAGCAGTTTGGGCTCATATGTCTCAACTGCGTTAAAGATAACATAGGGAATTTGTTGGTCTCATTGTCCTATCTGTGTTAATTGAGGCACACAAATATCCTAACGTGTAATAATTCATATTTCTTTGGCACATCATATTTTGCATTGATTCGGAACGTCGCTCAGAGAGGTTTTGAGTATCACATGGTTTTAAGCATTCTGTATGCATGTACCCCATCTCTCCTAGAACCAGTAAACATGCATCAATTCCTCTAGATATTGTTTTAGGGCTACTTTGGCTGCTGGTTTGACACTTGGGACACCATACGCATAAAAAAGATTTATATGAATATAAGAATTGTGGTTGTTTATTAGTATTTGTCTTCAGATAAACGCAAATAGAAGGCATGCTTTTTATTTCTTAGTGCACTTTGATGGCTCGCAGAAGCAGAACATTTACTTTAGAGGGCCCTATGGATGCCCGTTTGAGTGGTGCTGACAATCGCAGTATATGTAAAGGTGATTAAAGTACCTGAGGGGAAGACGGATTGCTTGTCCCTCAATGGGAAATTCAGTTTTCGTTGTAGGGATCACAACGGAAGTACATGGTGTTCTTCCTGCATGGTCTTCTGGTTCCTGAGCCAATCCTTTATAAAAAAACAAAAAAACAAAACGATGTAATAATAAGAAACAATTTTCAGTAGTTTTTGTGTCCTGGTCTAATTACATAATAACCTGTCCAGTTGATGTTTGGAAGCAGGCAGGCAGGTACACGGCAGTGTCATATTACTTCAAGTAACAGCTGTGACTGTGGCTACAACTGCGCAACTGTTGAATAACAACGCGACCCGGCTTGTTGTGACCTTTCGCTGAGT